ATCCTCCCACAGATGAGGAATCCTCCTTCTCAGAAGCCCACGTAGCATCGGTAAAGCAAGTGAGAAATAGCTTGCCTTCTCCAAGCCTCTCCCCCTTCTCTTTCAGCACCTCCACCCCTTTCTGCTTCACCTGTGCAGATGCGGAGTATTGAACTCCAATGCTTGGGTGAGAGTTCAGGTACTTCACCACACGCTCAGCTGCATCCACCTGCTCCTCTGATGGATTCTGCACCACCCTAGCCAGCTGCCCAACCGAGAAAGAGATGTCGGGCCTCGTGTGAACTGCTGCGTACAAGAGGCTGCCCACCAAGGACTGAAATTGCTGCTGCTCTTCAGCTTCAACCCCTTCATCCTCTGCAGCCTTCACAAGCTTGAATTCTGCTGGCAGGGGAGTTGCAACCTTGCGCTCATTCTCAATCCCATACTTCTCCCCCAGCTCCTTGATGAACTTCTCCTGGTGCAGCTTCAACCACCTGTGATCTGGATCCCTCTCCACGTGCATCCCGAGGTAGTACTTTACCTCCCCAAGGTTCTTGCACTTGAAGTTTTCCATCAGTTGCTGCTGCACTTTCTGGATCTCCTTCATGCTGCTGCTGAAGAGAAGAATGTCGTCCACATAGACCAGAAACAGCACCAGCTTCTCCCCCTCACCCTTGAGAAAGAGGCTCTCATCACAGCTGCTGGTCCTGAATCCCATCTCCTCTAAAACAGCTGCCAACTTCTGGTACCAGCAGCGTGGCGCCTGCTTCAAGCCGTAGATGAACTTGTTGAGCTTGCACACCCTGCCCGTACCATCCTCATACCCAGGCGGCTGCGTCATGTACACATCCTCCTCTAAAATCCCATTCAGGAATGCCGTTGAAATATCCATCTGAATGATGAATTTCCCACTAACAGCTGCATCTGCCAACAAGACACGGAGGGTAGGGGGTTTGGCAGTGGGAGCAAAGATCTCGTTGAAGTCCTGCTTCTCCTTCTGCATAAACCCCTTCGCCACCAGCCTACTCTTGTAGATGGTGACCTGCCCCTTGTCATCGGTCTTGATCCTCAGCACCCACTTGCATTGTATCGCTTTCTTCCCATCAGGCAGCACCACCAGATCCCATGTCCTATTCTCCAGCAGACTCTGGTACTCAGCATCCCTAGAAGCCAGCCACTTGTCCCTATCTGGTCCAGCTAATGCCTCCTCCATGCTAGCTGGTTCCTCTGGTGCAGGGGCAAGAAAACAGTACGCAGGCTCATCCTCCTCATCCGGGTCATAGCCATGAGGTAGAATCAGCAATGCCTCTTCGGTCCCTAGCTGCTGCTCTGCTGCATCAGTTCCTGCAGTCAGCTTCTTAGTAGCCATACGGGTACGTCCTGGCCTGGAGACGGGTGTCTCCCATCCCTTCATAACGACACCCTTCGGCTTCTTAGTTTTTCCCTGCTGCTTCTCTCCTCCCTCGGGTCCAGCAGCTCCACTAGTGCTGCCGCCAGTTTCCACACCATTTTCTCCACCAGCAGATGCCTCCTGTACCTTCTCTCCATCACCATTTCCAGCAGCTGCCTCCTCTCCCTCCTCCCACACACTAGGAGTCAGGTCCAGCTGCATGGTGATCTGCTCCATCTGCTGGGACACCCTTGCCTCCGGCTGTTTCTCCCAGCTCCCATACATCATGCCCTCAATGAATTTCACATCCCTGCTGTCAAACAACACACCCTTGGATGGTTCCCACAGCAGCCATCCCTTGCTCTCAGCAGCCAGCCCCAAATGCACACACCAGATTGCACTCGCCCCCAACTTACTGCGGTAGGTCTTGGGGACGTGGGCGACTGCCATGCAACCGAACACCCTCAGCATGTCCACCGGCGGCTTCCTCCCAAGCCACCTCTCCAAAGGCACCCACGAGTCATCCCCAACCTTGGTGAGCACCCTGTTCCTAGCGACGGTGGCGTGCCGGACAGCATGAGGCCACATAGAGTTGCTCAGCCCAGATTCTATGAGCAGCGCCCTAGCTGTCTCCAGAATGGTCCGGTTTGCCCGTTCTGCTACACCATTGGACTGTGGGGTATAAGCCGTGGTCAGCTCTCTCTGGATGCCCTGCTTCTTGAGCCAAGCCGTCATTTCAGCTCCAAGGAACTCACCACCCCGGTCTGTCCTAATCCGCTTCACTACACACTCCGCCTGCTTCTCCACGAATGGCAGCCAATCGTCCCGTATCGTGGAGGCGGCGTGGTCCTTCTGCTTCAGCGGATACGCCCACATCAGCCTGCTCCAGTCATCCACAATTGTAAGAAAATACCGCTCCCCCTTGTGCCCTTGCACCGGCAGCGGCCCCACCAAGTCCATGTGGACCAGCTCCAAAGGCTTCTTGCTCCTGCCAGCCACACTATGGAAAGGGAAACGGGTGAACTTTGAAAGCAAACAGATTTCACAGTTGTCATCGGGTGGCTGTCCGTTCAGCTTCAGACCCTTAACGGCTCCATCCTTCTCCAGCTGCTTCAGCAAAGGCATTGCCACATGCCCTAAGCGCCGGTGTGCCGTTGCCCAATCTGTCTCCCCAGATCTGGCCGACACTTTCACACCAACCCCTCCAACGGCATTGCACTCCCCCTGGGATGCAGACCCCTCTCCAGCCTGCCCCCCACCATGCCACGCCAGGGCCGGCAGCTGCCACATAGATCTGTACACGTCCTTGCTCTCGTGCAGATCCCAAAGCACCCGATTGCCCAGCTTCCCCTTATAAGTGCGTGCCCCATCCGTGTTGGTGTTCACCCCAGCCTTGCCAAGCTTACGGAGGGAGATAAGGTTGGCCTTCAGGTCGGGGACGAAGAGAACGTCGTGCAGCACCACCGGCTTGCCATCCGCTCCCTTAAACGCAGCTCGTCCCGCACCAGCCACCTTCAACATGTGTCCAGAGGCGGAGCACACTTCATTGATCGGTGCAGCTCGTACTTCGTCCAGCAGGTCCTTGCGCGGCGTCATCGTCCAAGCAGCGCCTGTGTCCAACACCCAATAGTCTAGGGGGTGCAGCTCTGCTCCAACTTTGGCAGAGGCGTCTCCTTGCTCCCCCTTGTCTCCCACATGGAAGAATTGGCCCGCGGTGCGCTCCTTCTTCTTCTCCGCACCGCCGTTGCCCTTCGGGTTGTTGTCGGACGAATCAGCGACCATGTTGGCGCCGTTTTTCTGGTTCCTCCGTGCGCCGCCATCCTGGTGACGATTCTGGGGGGTCCATCCATCGGGTTTCTTATAGCACAAAAACCAGGGGTGCCCTTCCTTCTCACAATACCAGCAACTCCCTTTCATTTTGCCACCAGCACCCGACTTGCCCCCACGTCCAGATTTCGCACCGCGACCCCAACCGGTACCTCCTTGTTGGTCGTTGGAGTCGTCGTCTTTCTTTGCACCGCGTCCAGCACCACCGAAGCCACGTCCTCTGCCACGTCGACTCCCTTGCATCCCGTAGCCGCTGCTGCCGTCGTCTCCACCCCTCAGTTGGCGGCGACGGAAGTCCTCCTCCAGAATCTTCGTCCGCACCCACTCGAGCGTCCACAAGCTCTGGTTCTGCGGCAGGCTCAATCCGCTCGTAAATTGAAGCCACGATTCTGGCAGCAGCGAGAGCATCTTCAAGCACTTGGTCTGCTCCGGGTAGGTGATTCCCGCGGTCGCCAACTTCGCGTAGAGGTCGCGCATCTTGTCCAGGACTGGTTGCACCGGCTCTCCCTCGCTCAGGCGCAACGCGGACAGCTCCCTCTCCAGCATCAACGTTGCGACAACGGAGGTCGGGGCGTGCAGCTCCTTCAACACGGTCCACGCCTTCGGACCGCATTCAACCTCCGGCAGCAGGTGCATGACGTGGTGACGCTGGTTCAGCTCCAAACTCTGCGACATCAAATAGTAGCCAGCCGAGGAGCGCTCGTCCCAATCTTCCTGCAGCGTGGGGTCACTCGGTCTAGGCTCCTCCCCAATCATTAGTTTCAGCAAACCGATCTGACGGAAATATAATTGCATTTTCCAGGCCCAATCATCATAGCCCTCACCATTGAACTTCTCGACGGTGAAATTCTTCAGCACCTCCTTGACAAGCGAGCCCTGGTTTGTTCGCGCTCCCCGTGGCGCTGAAAGACCAGAATCTTGGCTGCCGCTACGATCTTGGGCTGAAGATTCACCAGCTCCCGCCGAGGTGTTGCCCGCCATAGCTACCTATAACGAGGATCACTATAACGCAGCTCTGATACCAGCTTGTTGGTGTAAGGGCCTAATAAACTCAAGCTATTAGGACTTAATCAAACTTAAAACCTCTCCTCGGGGTCACCTCCAAGGGTCCCTGGGTGCCTGGTACAAGACCAGCCCCTATCCTCGGGTCCGAGTTTGTAGAGAGAGGGATCAAGAAGGACTTAGTCAAAACAGCAAGAGCACCTTGAACGTCGCGCAGCGTGCCGTGCAGACCGTCGGTCGGATTAAGCTGAGAATTCGCTATATCGAAGCTCGCTCCAAGAGCTTTAAAATGAGCCAAGTTGCCTCGCGAAAAGTTCTGCCATTACAAAGTTATGGCTCGGACAGCGTTTGCCTAGCGTTGGAATGCTAGCATACTAGCGTTGACTCGGGTAGCATTCCGCCGTCGAATAGCGCAGAAACGAAATTCCAGCGAGGAAGGAATTCGCTTGAATCAATTGACTATATTCAGGTACAAACAGAGAAGGATTAAATAGTTCTAGCTAGCAAGGACCTTGGGAATCAACCTGGGAACAACCAGGGATGATCCCAAATAATTCCAAGCAACAGAACCAACCTGGCTGGACAAAATAGCAGGTGGTAGGTTGGTAAACAACCTCTGGTTCTGTTTTTCCAACCTGGGAAAACAACAACCAGGTTCAGGTTCTAAAAACAGAACCTGTTTTGTCTTTGCCTAACCAGCCAAATGCTGGTTCCGCTGGTTTCCCCTGGCCTTGTAGCATGCAGATACAGACAAACAACATCCAACCTTCACCTAAATTGTACCCCTATAGTGCCTTCCCTGCTACACTATAGTTAACCAAACAAAACAGTACAATTTCGAGTTGGATAGAACTGAATCTGCGCAATCAACTCAACCGAACTGCAAAGCTTCCATCTTGGGTTCCTTTGCGAGCTCGTCCTTTCTGCGTGCACTGTTCATAGCGCGTACAATGTTGTGCCGAAGCGCACATTGCGCGAGTACCTGCAAATGCATCAAGCGAAAATTGCGAAAGCAAACAAACACACGAACATTCCATTCACACCCAAATGCATTCGCACACGCATACTCGTACAAACAGACGGCAGGATGTCGTGCAATGTAAATTTGCACCCAACACAGACGGGGGAGGGGGATCAACAGGCAGCAAGGACGGGTACTGTGCAGTCACGGGCCCACCAGCAGCAGTCAAAAACTCGACCCCCGCCACAGGGGGGACCCACGGGGCCCGGCGCTGATTCCCCGCCTGCGGGGTCGAAGCAGAGGGAACAAGAGGAGGAGGAGCAACCGCAGGAGGACGAGGGGCAGCCTGGGCGAGAGGCGCAGCCGGGGGAGGCGCCACTGGTGTCTGAGCAACACGCGGGGAGTTGCTCTGGCTCGCCTGCCCGTTCCGCTCCTCGCGCACAGCCACAGTTACCGCGCGCTGCAGGTCAGCCATCGTCACCGGCTGATCATACCCCCAGCCGCCACCTGGCTGACGCGGCCCCCACCAGCCGCCCCGGCCACCGCGTTGCGCCGCCCAGTTCGCCTGAGAACCGCGGCGCTGCGGGGAATTGTGTCTGCACCGGGATGTCGCGCGCTCGTCTCGACGCGCGGGGGATTGGGGCCGCTGCTGACGACGGCCAGGAGACGGCGGACGCGGAGCGGATGGTGCAGAGGGATTCGCCACAAGGGGTGCGACGGGAACAGCCGCAGGTGGCGCAGACGGACCCGCCGCATGCGGAGCCGACAGTGCGGCATCAGGAGGGGCAACAGGAGCAACTCCAGGCGGCGCAGGAGGAGCACCCGCAGACGGTGCAGGGGGCGCAACCACAGGTGGCGCGGGAGGTACAGCCGCGGCCAGAGCAGGAGCAGATCCAGCAAGCACAGGTGGAGGAGGCGCTAGCGCCGGAGGCGGTGCAGACAGGGGAGCCGGAGCGCCGGGAAGCGACGGCTGGCCCTGGACGTCAGTGGTGGCGGACCCCTCCGGCAGGGCCGTCACGCCGCCAGCAACAACCGCCTGTTCGGCGGCCGCAGACGGAGCGACGGGGTCGGCAACTCGAGGAGCGCCAGACGGAGCAGACGCATCAGACGCCGCAGCGAGAAGGGCAGGCGGCGCGACGGGAAGAGATGCAGACCGCACGGGAGCCTGGTGACCATCGTCGGGTGCCAGGCAGAGACGCCAGGGCCTCGCGAAACGACGGTGCGGGGCGAGGAAGGGTTTCAGCGCCTCCTATCACGGGCTTCGGAGCAGGCGGCGTCGGGGAGCCCGTCGGCATGGTCCCCGTTCCGGAGGCAGGCGGTGGCCTTTCGTACGCAGCCGACGGAGCGCCAACGCGCATTGGCGAATAGTCGGTCGGCCCAGAAATCACCATTGGGGGGCCGAGGAGGGCGAGGCAGAGGGAGAGTAATAGCTAGCGGCGTAGGAGGTGGACCCGAGAATGGCTTCCAAGCGGCAGGGCGTCGGGCTTTAACAGCTCTGGAGAGAACTAATGAAGAGGAGGAGCGAGGGGATCCTTCTTATAGGGAGGAGCCTCTCCCACAAAGTGAAGATGACGAGGAAGAATCAGATGGTGCTGGAGAGAGGCGAGGGACTGAGATACAAGCTGGTGAGCACGAGGCGGGCGGGGAAGGAGGAACGCATCAAGTCAATCGGACGGCTACGATCCCAACTCCTGGACAGAGCGATGCACCGAGGCGCATGCAGAGAAATCAGGTTGCGCGCTCTGGAAGCGCGTCAGCAAACCAAGCACATTTCCCCCGCTACTACTCGCCAGGGGAGTTGGCGAAGCGATCGGATCTGTTCGCAGCCATCGGTGATTGGGACCTAGAGGCACTATGCGACAGTCGTCAGCCATCCCTGTCACGCCGATTACCGCCCAATTTGTGTCAGCTGTTTTCACTGGTGTTACTCACCCCGCTCCTCCACCTCGCGCGAAATCCGGACTCAGTCGCAGGTTGGCGACTGCTGCTGTTTCTCCCACGGCTCACACTTCGCCAGCCGTCGCCAAGAACACCGAAGTGGCCCGAAGTCAAAGCCCGTCTCAGAGCTTTCCAGCGTGGCGAATGGGGGCAGCTGTACTCTGACGCGATCGAAGCCATCAACACCCCACCGCCTCCACGTCACCAGCCTGACGAGGCGGGAGTACTCAGCAGGGCGGAGGGCCTGGCCAAGCGAGGAAGCCTCCGCCGAGCCGTGCTGGCCCTCGAGTCAACCCCAGTCTGCACGCCTGGCCCGGGGGTCTTGGAGGAACTTCGCGCGAAACACCCCCGAGCCGACGACGAGCATCTGAGCTGGCCAACAACACCAGGCCCGAACCTTCAAATCAGCCATGCTGATTTCACCAAACTTCTGGGTCGGTGCGAAAATGGGGTGGGGACTGGACCGTCCGGAACCGCTTTCGAACACCTTCGCGACGCATCGGCAACCAACGCATCGGTCTGCACCCACCTGCATGCCCTAGTCAACACTATCCTGACGGGCAAATTACCCGAGCCAGTTGCAGACCTGCTGACGGCGTCGCGCCTAATCGCGCTGTCCAAGCCCGGTGGGGGGTTCGGCCAATTGCAATTGGCGAGTGCCTGACGCGCCTCGCGGCCAAGGCAGCTCTGACTGCAATTGGGGAAGCTGCACGTGACCATTTCCTGCCTCTACAGTACGGGGTGGCGGTACCTGGGGGAGCTGAAGCGAACATCCATGTCGCACGTGCCTTCGTTGACTCGAGGGACCGCTGCGTGGTGTTACAGACAGACATTTCAAATGCCTTCAACAGCATTTCGCGACAAGCAATCATCAACGGGATTTGCGACAGCAACCTTTCGTCACTGCTCCCTCTAGTGCGGCTAACGTACGGTAACCCGTCGAAGCTGTACCTCGACTCAAATTTCGCCAGCCACCCGCTGAACAGTGAACGCGGGGTGAGACAGGGGGACCCACTCGGCCCTCTACTGTTCGCAGCAGGGATCCACCCAGCACTTCGCGAAACTGCAGCTGCACACCCCCACGTTCTCTGCTTGGCGTATGCAGACGACGTGACATTTTTGGGGGATGACTCAGACACTGTAGCAGCATTCAACTTATTCACGAGCAAGTTAGCGCAGCTGGGTCTCACACATAATCCACAGAAATGTGTGGCATGGAGCACAGGAGGCGACGAGCCTATTCAGCTGCCGCCAGGGGTCCCGTTATCACAGGATGGGATACGCCTTCTAGGTAGCTTCCTGGGGCCAGCAGCGGGTGCGGCAAAATTCCTGGCAGGGCAGCTGGAGGAAATGGCTAAGCCGCTGCCACTGTTAGAACGTGCCGACCCCCAAGTAGCCTCCCTGCTACTGACCCGCTGCATTTCTAGACGCGTAGCATACCTCACTAGGACCACGCCACTGAATCTCCTGCCACGAGACACCTGGGCGCAGTGGGGGAGAGACCTTCTAGCAGCGCTCCTGACATCCTGCGGGATTAAAGTCCCTACCTGTAGCACGGAGCAGTCGAGAGTGTGGGCGCAGGCTTCGCTTCCCTCATCCCTGGGCGGCTTAGGACTGACAGACCCACTCGTAGAAGGGGTCTACGGATTCGTAGCCAGCTTCACACAGGCCGCACTCTTCTTTTCCTCCCTGACGCTAGCGCCAGACACAGCACTGACCCGAGCACACAGCCACATGATTCTGCCCCGGGATAGAACCACACCGCTTCACTCCTGGCTCACAGAGTGCGAGACAGCCCTACCCTCAGACGCACGCGACGTAGTTGACCAGGAGCGGCTCTCTAGGTCGGACATCAAGCTTCAGCACACGCTGGCCCTCAAAGTACAGGGGAGTAGGTACACGGTACAGGTCCAAGAGACGAGGCGAATGAGACTGAATCCTCTATCTGGGCACACACAGAGAATGTTTTCACTGACAGGCTACGGCGCGGGGGACTGGCTGACGGCGGTACCAGTGGCTTCCTCTCGGCGCATCGGCCCGGTACACTTCAGCAATGCCGTGCGCTTCTGGTTGGGCCTCCCTTTTTCCACAGCGAAGAAGTGTGACTGTGCAGACCACACCGACAGTGTGCGATGCAGCTCACGCACCAACACCGTGCCTGCGGCGATCGCCCCGGATCCAGTCCCTGCATGCAACAACCGCCGCAGCCCACGTACGGCCGAACCAAGGGGCCCGACCCCCGCAAGCCCACCCGGCGCGGGCGCAGCCAACACGGGCGCTAGCAGCTCGGCGAGGCGATCAGCAGCCGCGAAGCAATCGTCCCGAGGGCCGCCCACCAGTGAGTCGCCCTGGGACAGGGCGGCATGACCATACATCTGCACCAGATGCACGACCCGCAGCGCCTCCGAGAGGCGCCAGATCTGACCAAGGGTCACCTCCGGCACCGCAACCGGACGCTGAGGTCCCAGCAAGGCCGAGAACGAGTGCGCCGCACCTGCAGACGGGGGAGGGGGATCAACAGGCAGCAGGGACGGATACTGTGCAGTCACGGGCCCACCAGCAGCAGTCAAAAACTCGACCCCCGCCACAGGGGGGACCCACGGGGCCCGGCGCTGATTCCCCGCCTGCGGGGTCGAAGCAGAGGGAACAAGAGGAGGAGGAGCAACCGCAGGAGGACGAGGGGCAGCCTGGGCGAGAGGCGCAGCCGGGGGAGGCGCCACTGGTGTCTGAGCAACACGCGGGGAGTTGCTCTGGCTCGCCTGCCCGTTCCGCTCCTCGCGCACAGCCACAGTTACCGCGCGCTGCAGGTCAGCCATCGTCACCGGCTGATCATACCCCCAGCCGCCACCTGGCTGACGCGGCCCCCACCAGCCGCCCCGGCCACCGCGTTGCGCCGCCCAGTTCGCCTGAGAACCGCGGCGCCGCGGGGAATTGTGGCGGCGCCGGGATGTCGCGCGCTCGTCTCGACGCGCGGGGGATTGGGGCCGCTGCTGACGACGGCCAGGAGACGGCGGACGCGGAGCGGATGGTGCAGAGGGATTCGCCACAAGGGGTGCGACGGGAACAGCCGCAGGTGGCGCAGACGGACCCGCCGCATGCGGAGCCGACAGTGCGGCATCAGGAGGGGCAACAGGAGCAACTCCAGGCGGCGCAGGAGGAGCACCCGCAGACGGTGCAGGGGGCGCAACCACAGGTGGCGCGGGAGGTACAGCCGCGGCCAGAGCAGGAGCAGATCCAGCAAGCACAGGTGGAGGAGGCGCTAGCGCCGGAGGCGGTGCAGACAGGGGAGCCGGAGCGCCGGGAAGCGACGGCTGGCCCTGGACGTCAGTGGTAGCGGACCCCTCCGGCAGGGCCGTCACGCCGCCAGCAACAACCGCCTGTTCGGCGGCCGCAGACGGAGCGACGGGGTCGGCAACTCGAGGAGCGCCAGACGGAGCAGACGCATCAGACGCCGCAACGAGAAGGGCAGGCGGCGCGACGGGAAGAGATGCAGACCGCACGGGAGCCTGGTGACCATCGTCGGGTGCCAGGCAGAGACGCCAGGGCCTCGCGAAACGACGGTGCGGGGCGAGGAAGGGTTTCAGCGCCTCCTATCACGGGCTTCGGAGCAGGCGGCGTCGGGGAGCCCGTCGGCATGGTCCCCGTTCCGGAGGCAGGCGGTGGCCTTTCGTACGCAGCCGACGGAGCGCCAACGCGCATTGGCGAATAGTCGGTCGGCCCAGAAATCACCATTGGGGGGCCGAGGAGGGCGAGGCAGAGGGAGAGTAATAGCTAGCGGCGTAGGAGGTGGACCCGAGAATGGCTTCCAAGCGGCAGGGCGTCGGGCTTTAACAGCTCTGGAGAGAACTAATGAAGAGGAGGAGCGAGGGGATCCTTCTTATAGGGAGGAGCCTCTCCCACAAAGTGAAGATGACGAGGAAGAATCAGATGGTGCTGGAGAGAGGCGAGGGACTGAGATACAAGCTGGTGAGCACGAGGCGGGCGGGGAAGGAGGAACGCATCAAGTCAATCGGACGGCTACGATCCCAACTCCTGGACAGAGCGATGCACCGAGGCGCATGCAGAGAAATCAGGTTGCGCGCTCTGGAAGCGCGTCAGCAAACCAAGCACATTTCCCCCGCTACTACTCGCCAGGGGAGTTGGCGAAGCGATCGGATCTGTTCGCAGCCATCGGTGATTGGGACCTAGAGGCACTATGCGACAGTCGTCAGCCATCCCTGTCACGCCGATTACCGCCCAATTTGTGTCAGCTGTTTTCACTGGTGTTACTCACCCCGCTCCTCCACCTCGCGCGAAATCCGGACTCAGTCGCAGGTTGGCGACTGCTGCTGTTTCTCCCACGGCTCACACTTCGCCAGCCGTCGCCAAGAACACCGAAGTGGCCCGAAGTCAAAGCCCGTCTCAGAGCTTTCCAGCGTGGCGAATGGGGGCAGCTGTACTCTGACGCGATCGAAGCCATCAACACCCCACCGCCTCCACGTCACCAGCCTGACGAGGCGGGAGTACTCAGCAGGGCGGAGGGCCTGGCCAAGCGAGGAAGCCTCCGCCGAGCCGTGCTGGCCCTCGAGTCAACCCCAGTCTGCACGCCTGGCCCGGGGGTCTTGGAGGAACTTCGCGCGAAACACCCCCGAGCCGACGACGAGCTTCTGAGCTGGCCAACTGTTGGGTGCAAATGCACATTGCACGACATCCTGCCGTCTGTTTGTACGAATATGCGTGTGCGAATGCATTTGCGTGTAAATGGTGTGTTCGTGTGTTTGTTTGCTTTCGCATTTTTCGCTTGATGCATTTGCAGATACTCGCGCAATATGCGCTTCGGCACAACATTGTACGCGCTATGAACAGTGCAAGCAGAAAGGACGAGCTCGCAAAGGAACCCAAGATGGAAGCTTTGCAGTTCGGTTGAGTTGATTGCGCAGATTCAGTTCTATCCAACTCGAAATTGTACTGTTTTGTTTGGTTAACTATAGTGTAGCAGGGAAGGCACTATAGGGGTACAATTTAGGTGAAGGTTGGATGTTGTTTGTCTGTATCTGCATGCTACAAGGCCAGGGGAAACCAGCGGAACCAGCATTTGGCTGGTTGGGCAAAGACAAAACAGGTTCTGTTTTTAGAACCTGAACCTGGTTGTTGTTTTCCCAGGTTGGAAAAACAGAACCAGAGGTTGTTTACCAACCTACCACCTGCTATTTTGTCCAGCCAGGTTGGTTCTGTTGCTTGGAATTATTTGGGATCATCCCTGGTTGTTCCCAGGTTGATTCCCAAGGTCCTTGCTAGCTAGAACTATTTAATCCTTCTCTGTTTGTACCTGAATATAGTCAATTGATTCAAGCGAATTCCTTCCTCGCTGGAATTTCGTTTCTACGCGGTTCGTTGGCGGAATGCTACCCGAGTCTGTTGGTGTAAGGGCCTAATAAACTCAAGCTATTAGGACTTAATCAAACTTAAAACCTCTCCTCGGGGTCACCTCCAAGGGTCCCTGGGTGCCTGGTACAAGACCAGCCCCTATCCTCGGGTCCGAGTTTGTAGAGAGAGGGATCAAGAAGGACTTAGTCAAAACAGCAAGAGTACCTTGAACGTCGCGCAGCGTGCCGTGCAGACCGTCGATCGGATTAAGCTGAGAATTCGCTATATCGAAGCTCGCTCCAAGAGCTTTAAAATGAGCCAAGTTGCCTCGCGAAAAGTTCTGCCATTACTAAGTTATGGCTCGGACAGCGTTTGCCTAGCGTTGGAGTGCTAGCATACTAGCGTTGACTCGGGTAGCATTCCGCCGTCGAATAGCGCAGAAACGAAATTCCAGCGAGGAAGGAATTCGCTTGAATCAATTGACTATATTCAGGTACAAACAGAGAAGGATTAAATAGTTCTAGCTAGCAAGGACCTTGGGAATCAACCTGGGAACAACCAGGGATGATCCCAAATAATTCCAAGCAACAGAACCAACCTGGCTGGACAAAATAGCAGGTGGTAGGTTGGTAAACAACCTCTGGTTCTGTTTTTCCAACCTGGGAAAACAACAACCAGGTTCAGGTTCTAAAAACAGAACCTGTTTTGTCTTTGCCTAACCAGCCAAATGCTGGTTCCGCTGGTTTCCCCTGGCCTTGTAGCATGCAGATACAGACAAACAACATCCAACCTTCACCTAAATTGTACCCCTATAGTGCCTTCCCTGCTACACTATAGTTAACCAAACAAAACAGTACAATTTCGAGTTGGATAGAACTGAATCTGCGCAATCAACTCAACCGAACTGCAAAGCTTCCATCTTGGGTTCCTTTGCGAGCTCGTCCTTTCTGCGTGCACTGTTCATAGCGCGTACAATGTTGTGCCGAAGCGCACATTGCGCGAGTACCTGCAAATGCATCAAGCGAAAATTGCGAAAGCAAACAAACACACGAACATTCCATTCACACCCAAATGCATTCGCACACGCATACTCGTACAAACAGACGGCAGGATGTCGTGCAATGTAAATTTGCACCCAACACACTCCCCCTCAGCCTGCCGGCTGCATCCCCGTCATTCCATGCTAGTTCATGGTCATTCCACTCATGCGCACACAACGCCAATGAGGCTCATCCGCAAGCCTCTTGGTGAGAAAGTCTGCTGGCTGCTGGTGAGTCTTGATGTAGATCGGATGCACCGTCCCCCTCTTCACCTCCTTACGCAGCCAGTGCCACTTGATACGCATGTGCTTGTTCAGCCCATGAAGCACAGCGTTTCTGGCCATCCCAAGAGCCCCCTTGCTATCACAAAACAGCGGCGTAGCAACTTTCTGCTCCTGGCCAATCTCCTCTAACAGCCTCCTCAGCCAAATCACCTCCTTCACCCCATGGAACATCGCCATGTACTCTGATTCTACGGAAGAGAGTGCCGTCTCCGTCTGCTTCTTGGACCTCCAACTAACAGGTCCTCCCCCAACTACGCAGATGTATCCTCCCACAGATGAGGAATCCTCCTTCTCAGAAGCCCATGTAGCATCGGTAAAGCAAGTGAGAAATAGCTTGCCTTCTCCAAGCCTCTCCCCCTTCTCTTTCAGCACCTCCACCCCTTTCTGCTTCACCTGTGCAGATGCGGAGTATTGAACTCCAATGCTTGGGTGAGAGTTCAGGTACTTCACCACACGCTCAGCTGCATCCACCTGCTCCTCTGATGGATTCTGCACCACCCTAGCCAGCTGCCCAACCGAGAAAGAGATGTCGGGCCTCGTGTGAACTGCTGCGTACAAGAGGCTGCCTACCAAGGACTGAAATTGCTGCTGCTCTTCAGCTTCAACCCCTTCATCCTCTGCAGCCTTCACAAGCTTGAATTCTGCTGGCAGGGGAGTTGCAACCTTGCGCTCATTCTCAATCCCATACTTCTCCCCCAGCTCCTTGATGAACTTCTCCTGGTGCAGCTTCAACCACCTGTGATCTGGATCCCTCTCCACGTGCATCCCGAGGTAGTACTTTACCTCCCCAAGGTTCTTGCACTTGAAGTTTTCCATCAGTTGCTGCTGCACTTTCTGGATCTCCTTCATGCTGCTGCTGAAGAGAAGAATGTCATCCACGTAGACCAGAAACAGCACCAGCTTCTCCCCCTCGCCCTTGAGAAAGAGGCTCTCATCACAGCTGCTGGTCCTGAATCCCATCTCCTCTAAAACAGCTGCCAACTTCTGGTACCAGCAGCGTGGCGCCTGCTTCAAGCCGTAGATGGACTTGTTGAGCTTGCACACCCTGCCCGTACCATCCTCATACCCAGGCGGCTGCGTCATGTACACATCCTCCTCTAAAATCCCATTCAGGAATGCCGTTGAAATATCCATCTGAATGATGAATTTCCCACTAACAGCTGCATCTGCCAACAAGACACGGAGGGTAGGGGGTTTGGCAGTGGGAGCAAAGATCTCGTTGAAGTCCTGCTTCTCCTTCTGCATAAACCCCTTCGCCACCAGCCTACTCTTGTAGATGGTGACCTGCCCCTTGTCATCGGTCTTGATCCTCAGCACCCACTTGCATTGTATCGCTTTCTTCCCATCAGGCAGCACCACCAGATCCCATGTCCTATTCTCCAGCAGACTCTGGTACTCAGCATCCCTAGAAGCCAGCCACTTGTCCCTATCTGGTCCAGCTAATGCCTCCTCCATGCTAGCTGGTTCCTCTGGTGCAGGGGCAAGAAAACAGTACGCAGGCTCATCCTCCTCATCCGGGTCATAGCCATGAGGTAGAATCAGCAATGCCTCTTCGGTCCCTAGCTGCTGCTCTGCTGCATCAGTTCCTGCAGTCAGCTTCTTAGTAGCCATACGGGTACGTCCTGGCCTGGAGACGGGTGTCTCCCATCCCTTCATAACGACACCCTTCGGCTTCTTAGTTTTCCCCTGCTGCTGCTCTCCTCCCTTGGATCCAGCAGCTTCACTAGTGCTGCCGCCACTTTCAACACCTTTTTCTCCACCAGCAGGTGCCTCCTGTACCTTCTCTCCATCACCATTTCCAGCAGCTGCCTCCTCTCCCTCCTCCCACACACTAGGAGTCAGGTCCAGCTGCATGGTGATCTGCTCCATCTGCTGGGACACCCTTGCCTCCGGCTGTTTCTCCCAGCTCCCATACATCATGCCCTCAATGAATTTCACATCCCTGCTGTCAAACAACACACCCTTGGATGGTTCCCACAGCAGCCATCCCTTGCTCTCAGCAGCCAGCCCCAAATGCATACACCAGATT